AATTTATTTAATTATGTTATGTAATTGTTGAGATATGCAATTTTTTGTCACCGCCGTTTTTTTCTTAACACACTGTATATCAAAAAATAATCTTTCGGCCATTTCTGAAGGACTAAGATTACCAATAGCACCGATTTTTAAAGCAACAGCATCTGCAACTAGTGAAGATGAGAGATTTATACCAGATAATTCACGTTGTACGAGGCCAAGGAAAAATGAAGGAATATCTTTCTTTACTAGGAGCACACATGTCAACGCAAAGGTCCAAAATTTGAAAAATCAGTAATTGGATCACTTGACTTTTCAATTGCACACACTGTAATTTCTATTGGTACGCTTGCAGGTGAGATCCCGCAAGCATCTTGAGCATCAAATCTTTTATGGTTCTATAAGTTTCATTGGATAATGAACGATCCATCCTATTCCAAGGTCTAATTCTTCTACATAACATCTTTATGGGGTCTAATAAACAAAAACAAATATTTAACAAACGTATTTCTATCATTGCCTGAATTTTAGACATTATACTATTCATGTTACCTCAAACAAACAATCTTTATTTTGATTTGACTTACAATGAACAAATCTTAATAATTTGATAAAGTTATGTTTATTGTTTGAATTAAGTTTTGCTAACAGTAATATACGAAATATTACTTTGTAAAAGATTTATTTGTACTTTTTAATTGATACATATAAAAAATTATTTGCTTTGCTAAAATTTAATGATAATTAATGAAAGTTTAAATTTAAATCCTAACTAATGAAATTGTCAAATTAAATAAATATACATTCTTGTATATGAACTAATATTGGAACGACATATCACATAGATGCCAATTTTGTAAGCACACTTTTCACATGCTACTAGGTGGTTGCATGGTGAAAAGAAATGCGTCACTGGTTCTTCTAGACATATTTTACACTTTAAATACTGGCCATTTAGCTCTTCGTTTTCATCCAACAAAGATTCGCTAATTGCCATTTCTTCGTCTAATCGTTTTTTTAAATATAAATTAGACTTATAATCATTAAAATGCTCGCACGTACCAGGTGAAGAGTTCCTCAATAACTTCATAACTAGAGTGACGACGAGTGGCGATAACCACCACCATCCTTATGATGAACACTTACTCATTCTGCACCTTATTATTTGGTGCTACTTTGCTTATACATGTTTTTTTAAAAAAGATAATTATCTATCCTATTGGTTTTTTTTTGTTGATGCGAATTTGATTTTTTTTTTCTTCCTTGGAAAACAATCTTATTTTTCAATGACAAAACGCGAGTGTTGTTGTTTGGTATGATATGGTCTGAAGACGTGTTAATAACTAACTAACCAGAGGTAATTTTTTGCTTTTGTGAGCAAGCAAGCAAGGTTAGGACTAACATTGGTTCATCAGTGAGTGTTAACAATGATTAGTAATGTAATTTGCTTTAGTGAGTAAGCAAAGGTTAATCGGAAATACTGATAGTATTATTGTAGTCATAAATGTAAGGTTGTTAAACAAGCTACTTAAGTTATTTTACAAGTAAACCAAAGCGAGTTTGCAATCAGCTAATAAAGGTAAACAATTAAAACAAATCGATCACAAGGAACTTTATACCATTGCAAAAGGACCATTTTTATTTATTTACAGTTATCTGGTACCATCAAGCCCACAGATTCGTCTATATAGGTGCAGTAATTGAGAATCAAAGTAAATTCGTAAACTGATTAATCGACAAGTATCAAATTACTGCGAGTTGCAATTAATTGACAATAAAGTTGAGCCATGATTTTTAATTAGCTGAGATGATATCACCAATTAGTGTTAACAAGAATTGAAAAATTGTAAAAAAGTTTATTACAAAATATTGTTACAAGATAAGAAATAAAATAAGGATGAAATAAATAGATAAAGAATAAATTTATAGTGGAGATTAAATTAGTCATCCATCAATTCTTTTACTATTGTTACTAGAATCTAATTAATTAATATTGTTGGTAATAATTAATAATAATGAAAATTTTATTCATCATTGTTAACATTTAGAAAAAAGAGTTACAATCAAGATTATTTAACGAACTATTACTTGTAATTTTTAAGCTTTTAGACTTGGCAATCTCTTCATCTAATATTCTACTTGTGTGATATGCATCTGGATGTGATTTGTGTACTTGATGTGAAGTACCACTACCACTGCTACTAGTAGTATTATTGCTATTATTATTTTTAATAATTTCTTCAAATTTATCATAAGCAAAATCAAACAGCTCTTCAATAGTTGGTCTTTTTGATGGATCCACATCCCAACACCTCTGCATCATTTGTGCATAATCGTCAGGCATTCCGGGCAGTATTGGTGGACGTAAACCTTCACATATATCAAAAATCAAACGATGATTATGAGCTCTATCATCAAATGGTGGATGGCCTGCAAATATTTCCCACATT